TCACCGGTCTCTAGTGAATAGATAGGCTGCATTCTCAGTGATATCACCGGTCTCTAGTGAATAGATAGGCTGCACTCTCCGGGATGTCACCGGTCTCTAGTGAATAGATAGGCTGCACTCTCAGTGATGTCACCGGTCTCTAGTGAATAGATAGGCTGCATTCTCAGTGATGTCACCGGTCTCTAGTGAATGGATAGGCTGCATTCTCAGTGATGTTACCGCTCTCTGATAACTACTTACCTCTTATCTTCACCTTCTTTCCTGCAGGGTTCCATAAAGTCATGGAGGGGATCAGCCGTGCGGTGGAGCTGGGGTACAATCCTGTCAAGGTAAGACACAGCTGGGTGAAAGATGATCAATTTACTGAGCCTCTGTTCTGTAATCTGCAGAATTCAAAGCAATTCACAGCTCAGGCCAAGTGGGATATCTGATCAGAGGGCCATTGTCTCGCACTTTGGAACTTATTTATTTTTTCTCACTTTACGCACATTTTTATGTCTATTTTTTTACTTCACAGTTTTTTTGGGTCTGCCCTGAAGTCTAGGCAGAGGATGTGTGGCCATTGGGTTCCTTTTTTCCCTGAAGCAGGCGGTCTTTTTTTGGGGGAGCCCAACCTAGTACTTGCTCAGTGGTTGGCTTTGGCTAACCAAAAAGAATGGGTCCACCAGCTTTGGCTAGGTGGACATGAGTGCCCTGCCCCTGTCAGGAGCCTTGCACCCCAGGGGGTCAAGGGTAGGGCTCTATCTCTTGGGAGATGGACCACTGAGACACACCCTAGTGTACTTTTTTTTGCTCACTATGTTATTATGGACCCAGGCTTAAAAATAAAATAGGCCAGACTGTCATGGACCTGTCCTCTGGGGTGTGTTATCGCACAGCCTGAGCTTAAAATACTCTTGAACTAAGCTGCACTCACATATGACTACGTAAGTGCTGCTCAGTCCAGGATGAAGGACCACCTAAGAAGAGGAAGGATCTGTGACATCCCCAAGCTGACCTGAACACTGCAGGATTTGAGATGTGCAATAGTGATGGTGACGGTGATGTGGAGGGCATCCTCGAAGGGGTAAGGGGGGGAAGAGATTTAAAAAGTTTTGAGGGTTAAGCCTATTTGTCAATTATTCCTCTGACCTCTCCCTATAAGACACTGATTGCTGGACTGTCTCTCCCCTCTCTGTCCCGTCCTCCAGCTGAACTGCGTGGTGATGCGAGGCCTGAACGAGGATGAGCTGGTGGATTTTGTAGCACTGACGGAGAAGCAACCGCTGGAGGTGCGCTTCATAGAATACATGCCCTTTGATGGTAAGTCTCCCTGACCTAGCAGAGCTGACCTAACACTCTGATAATTGGTGGTCCGGGATGTAAGTGCCGCCATCTTGGTGAGGTGAGATCTCATCCCAGGAAAAATTCCAATGACAAGACAGATAGAAGTAAAAACTTCATTTATTTTAGGTTACATTGGGGAATGCTAGAACCTCCTTCAGCTTTTAATTGTTGTCTGTTTCCCTGAAAGCAAAATGGACGGCACCAAACTTCCAGGGTCATTGTCATTAATAGTAACACGTAAAACCTCTGCCACCACGTGGTGAATTCCAGGCAAGCCATCAAATACAGCATCTAGTTTCACAAACTTGGAACTCCATTCAGCTAGTCTTGTGACTTGCACCCCCTGCTAAGTGACTTGCACCCCCTGCTAAGTGACTTGTGTGACGGACCCCGGTACTCAGGATGAGTATGTCCGCCGCTGTATTCTTCGTTGCTCAGGAGATACTGCAACCGGCTGATCTTTAGCTCCCAGTTTCCCCAGTCACTGCACCGCACTACACCCCCTGCTAAGTGACTTATACCCCCTGCTAAGTGACTTATACCCCCTGCTAAGCTGAACAGCTTGGCATGGTTTACCTGGTAGCTGCTGGTCACCTTCTGCTGGACTTGAACTGTAATGTTGAAGATGTTTCCTCACTAATCCAAGTAGTTCTAATGAATATAGGGAACATGTATACTTAGATGGGTAACTCAGTCTCCTTTATCCAGTCACCACGCTATGGAATGTTTAATGGTAGATGTTGATTGTCTAAGATCATGAGGGGAGGTGTGAAAGATTGTGAAAGCTCCTTTTCCTTAATTCAGTCCCACGGTGCCATGAATTCTGGCACTGGTGTTAATTGTTTGAATTACATAGAGGGCCTGTTCACACAACGTCTGTTTTCTGTGCTGGCCTGATCCGTACGCTCCTGCACTAAAAATGCATCCCAATGTATCCCTATGTGTTTTATGGGCTACAGTTCTCATGTGCGCAGTCCGTTTTTTTTTTTTTTTTACTGGAACGCATCAAAAACGCGGCAAAACACATAGCACCGCGTCTGCAGATTTGCACCTGATCAGGACCTGAAAATCATGTGACCAGGCCCTGAAGGTTTCCACCCCTGTTCAGGGATGGTTGTTCCAGTTTGACGTAAGTGGCCTCCTTCACGTCTCTTGTGAACCAATTGACCTCTCTGTCCAAAGTGTGGACAGTCAACATTTGCCTTGGCACATTTCATGGTAACTGGATAAAGTAGACTGAGTTACCCATGTAAATATAAATGCTGGGGCATGTGCCCTACATACCCCTACAGTATAGGGTATGTCCCCTACATAACCCTAGTACCTACATTCAGTAGAACTACTTGGATTAGTGAGGAAACATCACTAATTCAGGGGACTGAATTACCCTATTAGATATCAGTGTTGGAAATGTTCCTGACACTCCTTAGAACTGAGGAAGCCTCTTGGGTGAGCATTGATATGTCTTAGATGTTACAGAGCTCCGGCTAAAGCTGAGCAATCCTACTAGATATAATGCCATAATGTTCTTTGTGGAATTTTCTTTATTAATAAAGTTCTGTTTTTTTACAGGTAACAAATGGAACTTTAAGAAGATGGTGAGCTACCAGGAGATGTTGGACAGCATTCGTCAGAGGTGGCCTGAACTGGAAAAACTGCCCACTGAAATGTCCAGCACTTCTAAGGTACACATAAGGATATGAGTGTCATAGGATAGGTGTTGTGTTTGACTACCGTGTTTCCTCGAAAATAAGACACTGTCTTATATTTTTTTGGCTCAAAAAAACACACTAGGTCTTATTTTCGGGGTAGGTCTTATTTTTTTTTTAATGTACAAAAATCCACACTTATTCCTGTACAACAATCGCTGGCCAGAATAAGTGAAGCGGACTTTCACTATCGATTCCTCACAGGCGGAGTGCATTTGGTATCACTCCGCCTGTGACAGAAGCCGGCGCTATAGAGGAGGCATCGGCTTACGCGGCTCTGCTCCCTCTGGTGCCGCCTCGCTTCCTCTAGCGCTGGCTTTTTTGGCACCGCTTATTCTCTCCTGCCTCTCTTGCGGCTCTTCAAGGAAGTTCCCCCTCATGCCACCACCGGCCCTGGGAATGGTCACAACTAGGTCTTATTTTCGGGGTAGGTCTTGTATTTTAACAAATTCCAAAAATAGTATTAGGTCTTATTTTGGGGGTAGGTCTTATTTTCGGGGAAACAGGGTATATTGCAAACTCCTCTCCTGTTTCTCTACCCAGCACTCTGTGTTATTTCTGTAGGGAAGATCAGTGGCCGGTATGAATATAAGATACCGGTTTTTCGGTATTGAGTACCGATATATATTTTTTTGGTACTCACCAATACCGAATACCGATACCGGAAGTCCCATTAAGAAAGCCAGGCGATGTGTAAAGACTCGCCACCCGGCTTCCCGATTAGCAGGAAAGCCTTCTCCATGCTCCCTCATCATCAAGTGATGAGGGAGCATGATGCCGGCTTTCTGGCCAATCAGAAAGCCGAGGGGTGAGTAAAACCTCAACTTCTAGCTTCCTGATTGGCCGGCTTCCCGACCAATCAGGAAGCTAGGCGCAAGTCATTACACGCTGCCCGGCTTCCAGATAGGCCCCGGAGCTGGCTCCATGCTCCCTCGTCACCAGGTGACGAGGGAGCATGGAGCCGGCCAATCAGGAAGCCGGGCAGCGTGTAATAACTTGCTGCCCGGCTTCCTGATACCCGGAAGCTCAGGTATCGGGCTAGGTACTCGCCCAAATACTCTGTACCGATACTACTATCGGTGCATCCCTAATGTAAGGCAATGGAAATGAATGCAATGGGTTGACTTTATAACCCTTCTGCTTATTGTATAGCTGGGCAGATGCCATTTGCATGGCACAACCGCCACTAGATGGCACTAGGGAGCGTATGATATTCAAATGCTCCTCAAGAAATCCCTATGCTCCTCAGAGCCATCTAGTGCCAGTAATGCCATTCAGATGAATCCCTATGTACATATTGGTTTACATTTGGAATTGGCTTGGGGCGTATTAGGCTTATTTGTTGGAATTTTAGACGAGGACCATTCATTTAAAGGAGTTCTCAAGTCCCATAATCCCAAGAATAAACACGTGTTAAATAAGAACCAATCTTTTGTCTTTTCATATACAAGACTCTTGTCCAGAGCGGAGAGCACACACTTTTTGCTATGGTATTGACAAAACCATGTGATGATGATGTCGGCACCGACCGTGACCACACGACTTTGTCTATAAACATAGTATTAGGGTTATTGTCAGACCCATACCATTATGGTTAGTATTTCTTGCCAGAAGAACAGTGGCACTTACTGTGTCTTGTGCCACAACTGTTGACTCACTCTGAGGTAGAGTCGCCATTGATAAAGAGCTGAAATGCAAATAGTTGCAAGTTTCTTTTTTTTCATTCTGTGGCTGATCTGTGCTCAGTCTGGTTAGGAGTCCATAGAGGAGACCACAGATCATAGGCTGGCAGTGTATCCACCCAACAAATCCATTTGATTGTAGCCATCTTCTTTCCCTACTAGGCCTTCCGGGTGCCCAATTTCCAGGGGCAGATCGGCTTCATCACATCGATGTCTGAACACTTCTGTGGCTCTTGTAACCGGCTGCGGATCACAGCGGACGGAAACCTGAAGGTACAGAGAAGATTTGATTTGCTCCTTGTTTTGTTGGAACAAAAGTTATCCAAATGCTAAATCCAATATTATTTGCTGAAATTTGAAGCTCATCTCCGGGCACAATCCAGTCTAAAAGTAAAGCAATGAATGGCTCACCTTGGGTTCCCACTCCTATTGTGCAGCAATCCTATAGACTTTGCTTTTGGCTGGTGGTGGACTTCCAATGAAGACCAGTCATCTCCTGCCTTCATTCTGTGCACTGGGTGACTGGTCTCTTCCACTTGTAGTTTTGGATTTGCCAGCCCTGCCTAAATCAAATGGGGGTTCACCTGTCTCTGCCCAGCTCGGCCCATACATCAATGGGCGTTTGCATTTTCAATACCAGCACCTGTACTTACCCAGCCCTTCCCACCAACTGCCCCCTTTTTCCCTCTGCTCTGTTGATGTCACTGGTCATGAAAATATGATTGACTTTGCTTTTGGAACAGGTAAGCTACATGTTGTGGAGGAACAGAGAGAGGATAGATTAGCTTTAAGGCTTTTTATATGGCTGCATTAACTGGCCTTACACCCCGCACCATTTTGGGGGAAGTGGAATAGAAGGATGAGCCTTAGTGACCGAGTTTGCAGTGTTCACAGTGTTGAACCGTTCACGATTGAAGGTCAGGGTTTCCCAGGCCGACTTGGGTTTCCCACCCCCAAAGGGTGGCTCAGTGGGCATTCAGAATACGCACTAAGTGCCACCTTTTAATGCACAATTGTGCCATTTAAAGTGAGACCACCTTGTAGTTTCTGAATTAGATTTTACGGGGATGAACAGTAAAAGTAAAAAACTCACAAACACATCAAGGAATCAACTTTTAGAAAAAAACCCTGATGCTACAATATAGCCCAGTGGGCTCCGTTCTAGGCCATGGGCATACTTTACAGCCCAGGCAAGGCTGAGGTCCCGGAGACCCGTGGCAGGTACGTGACATGTGGATTTCCTAGCGGCAGCAGTTTTCCTTTCCTTTTAATTTTTCTGCTGGTCTTGTTATTAGTTATCAGTGCAATGCTGGATTTGCATATATTTGTGGGCCATGTTTCCTCTAAAGCAGCCCAATCCCAACTGTCAAGACCTCTAAGATGTGGTGCAATCCTCTATGGTATCATACAACACTGACCTTTTACTGACCTGATGAGGCATCCAGAGGACCCCTTTAAAAGTACGCATATCCCCCCTCCAGAACCTTTGTTGGCCCTAGGAGCAATGCAATATGGAAAATCCATCTGTGACTCACTAAAGCTAACAGTAATTCCCTGTGTGCAGTATGTTATATATAGTGAACTGTCCCACACTCTGTTGTTCTCTCCCAGGTCTGTCTATTTGGGAACTCCGAAGTGTCTCTCAGGGACGTGGTGCGGTCAGGGGCGTGCGAGGAGGAGCTTATACAGATCATCGGCGCAGCTGTGGGGAGAAAAAAGAAACAGCACGCAGGCAAGTGTCCCAGTTCTCTGCTGGCTCTGTGTTTATGATGTAACTTACTACTTACTTCCCACCTAGAATGCCAACTCAGGACAACTTGATTTTTTGAAGGGGTCCCCCAGCAGGATATTAAAAAAGCAGCTCGGACTGCAACACGCGCCTCCTCTCCAGCACTGCCAACTGCAGTACCTATTCTCCACCACAAGATGCCCTCAGTATTCTGGCTGAATGGCATCCTGAACCACTCACCCCGGAAGAGTGAGGACATAATGTGAGGAGAGGGTGTCCTAAACCTGCCTCCTGAGAGGGCGTCTCCACAATACTCTGCAGTCACAACATACAGTCTGATTATTTACCCCAGTACTAGCTGAAGTAAGAAAGTTAAACTTTCATTGCTAGGGGTTATTGCTAGCCCTATTTCCCAGCAATTTGTGGCATGCACCCTGCAATGTGCACTCTAGAGCGGGGTTTTGCGATAATTAGGGATGTACCGATATCGATACTAGTATCGGTGCCGATACCGAGTATTTGGGCGAGTGCTCACTTGGGCGAATAGCTCCGATGCCTAGCCCGATACTTGAGCTTCCAGTATCAGAAGCCAGGCAGTGAGTCAATACACGCTGCCCAGTTTCCTGATTGGCCGGCGAAGCCGTCTCCATGCTCCCTCGTCACCTGGAGCCAGCTTCCCAGCCAATGAGGAAGCCGGGCAGCGTGTCATTACACGTCCCCCAGCTTGTTTGGCCAGCTTGGTGTTACCTCGTCACCTGGTGACAAGAGGGCATGGAGCCGGCTTCCCGGACAATCAGGAAGCAGGGCACAGTGTAATGCCGCTTTGCCCGGCTTCTTCATTGACCAGCTTCTTGACCAATCAGGAAGCCGGGCAACACGTCATTACATGGCGTGCGGCTTCCTCATTGGCCAGAAAGCCGGCTCCATGCTTCCTCGTCACCTGGTGACGAGGGAGCCTGGAGACGGCTTCCCTGCTGATCGGGAAGCCGGGTGGCGAGTCATTACACGCTGCCCGGCTTCCCAGGTAATCAGGAAGCCAGGAGATGCCCGGCTTCCTTTAATGGCACTTTCGGTATTGGCGAGTACTGAAAAAAAAATTATCGGTACCCGAAAAACTGGTATCGTTGCATCCCTAGTGATAGTGCAACTCCATGTGTGCAAAGCTGGCTCTAAGGAGGAGTTATGCTTAAGTCAAAGTGATGAGCAGATGTCCATCTGGAGGAGTGGGTGTTCGTAAGCAGGATGTATTTGCATACAGCCCACCCTCAGTAATGGCCACTTGTGATGCTGAGCCTCTATGATGACAAGAACTGAAATCCAAAGAATGAAAGGGGTGGGCCAGGGACAGTCAAGCTGAGGAGGACAGGGCTGGATAATGGTGGACGACCTCCAGCCAGGAAAGGAGGCGGGCTCTATCTGATTTGCTGCAGCTTCTATTGCACATTGTAAGAATTTCCCAGTGTGCAGTGACATCAGAGCAGACCATTTCGGCCCAGGAGAGGAGTCTGTATAACTGTGCAAGACTGAAGGGAAGTCGAACAAGATCCAAGTAAGTGAGAACAAATCTCCCAAAACTGAGGCAATTCCCCTCCAGGACAGTTGTTCCTTCTGGAGGGGTACCCATTGGAAGATTTTCGCTCTATTCCTGTTTCCTCTCTTTCTGTTCCACTGACAATGGTCGCCAGGGCAAATAGAGGGGTGAATCTCCACAGCAGGGTCACACACAGCAATAAAAAAAACAGACCGAGGTTCTAATCCTTCCTTAATCTAAAACTAACAATACAAAGTTTGTCTTGGGATGCACTGTAAATATGACATTAGTGTTTGTGAAGCGATGGATCCTCGTCCTTTTCATATATGAACTGAAACATGTTTATTCACACTCAGGTATGTTCAGCATATCACAGATGAAGAACCGTCCGATGATCCTGATTGGTGGGTGACGCAACCTGTACGTATGGGGCGGGCGGGTCACCATTAGTCACTTTTCTTGCTTTGATTTGATTACTCACAGAGGGTGAAGCTCGTACTGGAGGCAATGTTAACAAAATGCGGCACTTCTAAGCATGCTGTCACGTAATGTGCATCTTGTCCATCACTGGGCATAGGAAATCATCTGATGTCGGGTCATGCTGCCGTCTAGAGGAAGATGGGAGACTGGCAAACAAAACATCAGCCCAAGAGCCTCATAAAGGGCCAACGTCCAAATCTAACAGATGAGGACGAACCCGCTGCCTGATAGGAGATCCTGCTAACACAACTAGAGGGAAGACGACAAGAATCAGACTGATACCAAAGTCCAGGAAAAAAATCTAATAACAAAACACAGAAGGGAGCACTGCTCCATGGACCTGGCGGAAACGCGCGACAGACGCGCAACTTTTTTTACCGCGTATTGCGGTAAAAAACGCGCGACAGACGCGCATATGCAATACGCCTAGGTGTGAACGAGACCTTAGTGGTTGTTGCTGTTTGCCAACCCCTCAGTTGCACTGGTCTTTTGGATATCCCAACAGTGAGTGACTTCCTGTGCCCCTCAATGGACGAGAAAAGAAAAGAGGGCAATAGTAATAATTGAATGGTTTGGACAATGACAACCATAAAATCTGCAGGCCAGCCCAGGGATATCCCTATTGATTTGTAGCAAGCTGTACCAAGAGCTTTATCATAAAACACAGAGTGGGGGGACTTGTTCCTTAACTGACTCCAAGAAAAGGATTTTACAATGAGCACAAAAATCCGATGTATTCCCCATTGAGAAAACACCATTGCAGAATATGAGCTGCCTAACCTCCTCCTGGGGGTACCTGACACTCTGTAGGTGAAATAGGGGCACGTACGTTATCATCTGTCAGGTTGTTAAAAGTCATCGCTGGCTTGCTTTAAAGAGATCCGGGTTGATTTATAAAACTTCTGCCCAGCCACGTGCTGGGCGAATGCCGTTCACAATGCATTCCTGCCACTAGGTGCAGCATAGAAGTTACCTATGCTCCTCGAGCATAGGAATGCTGTGCAAATGGCATTTGTCCAGCCATAGACTGGGCAGAGGTTTTATAAATCAATCCCATTGGGTAGAGTTTTAACAGTATTTTTTTTTTGTTTGGATACAAAATATATATTTGTAAGTTTTATTTTGCACATATACCTGTAGGCAGCCATTATACTCATTATAAACACAGGATCTGCTTTCTCCTTAATAGTGCTTCACAATGGTCGTGCCCTGGGCAGTTTTTAGTGTAAATGCCGAAAGCAACCCGAGAAGTTAAAAAAAAAAAAGTTACTGTTAAACCCATTATTAACCCCATTGTCCTAATCGGCCCCAATGAATTCCTTCTTCCCTTTCTTCCCTTTCTTCCCTTAGCTTTAAAGTTCTGGAACGAGCATACACCACATAAGTGTCAGAATGGCTTATTTCTAGGACTTCTGGGTCAGTGACTCTGCTGGCATTGAAGCCAAGGCAACCGGTCACGTAGCATTTGTAGATAAGCCAGCCTACCCATTATTCTCATGGCAGGCCCACTTTAAATCACTGCCTGTCCCTCAGAATGAAAACTAGGGATGCGCTGATACCGATACTAGTATCCGTACCGATACTAAGTATTTAGGCGAGTACTCATACTCACCCAAATGCTCCGATACTTACCCCCCGATTTGAGGGAGATTTCCTCTGACAGGCAGTGCCGCGAGAGAATATGGAGTCAGCTTCCCGGCCAATCAGGAAGCCGGGCGACGGGTGATGACCTGCCTCCGGGCTTCCTGATTACCCGGGAAGCTGACTCCATGCTAGCGGAAGTACCGGGATCAGCGAGTACCGAGACATTAATATCAATACTCGTACTCAATACCAAAAAACGATATCGGTTCATCCCGAATGAAAACCATTTGCAGTACCTAATTTTGTGAAATGTCCACAAGTCTCATTGGAAGGCAGATGACAAGTGATCTTTACCTAGGCTTCCAATCACAAGAGAATACACCGAGTAGCCTATATTTCACAGTAGGATAGAATTGTCTTTTATTCCTTGCCATAATAATTTGATGTGATTGATGAAGCTGACCTGTTCCCTATGCATGTGATTGATGAAGCTGACCTGTTCCCTATGGGTGTGATTGATGAAGTTGATCTGTTCCCTATGGATGTGATTGATGAAGCTGACTTGTTCCCTTACGGGTGTAATTGATGAAGCTGACCTGTTCCCTATGCATGTGATTGATGAAGTTGACCTGTTCCCTATGAATGTGATTGATGAAGCTGACTTGTTCCCTATGGGTGTAATTGATGAAGCTGACCTGTTCCCTATGGATGTCATTGATAAAGCTGACCTGTTCCCTATGGATGTGATTGATGAAGCTGACCTGTTCCCTATGGGTGTAATTGATGAAGCTGACCTGTTCCCTATGGATGTGATTGGTACGTAGTTGATTTTAACCTCTTGTGTGTTTTGCAGGAAACTGGAAGCTTCCACAGAAAACAACGAAGTGGTTTTTTAACGAACAACTTCAAAGACTCGGTTTGAGAACCAAATCAAACACGCCCACTACACCCGTCCCAAATAACAGAGGCTTCTACCGATCACTACGAGATTTTAGAGCGGCTAGGCCGAAAATCATGGTGCTTCCACTGCGGGCTTTCTGCAGCAACCCGAAAAACTTTAATACTGACCCAAAGTGCCTTAAAACAGAAGAGTCTTCCACTGAACGAACCACTTTATCTGATACGCACAATCCCTCTTCACAGGGAACCTCTGAACACTTGACGCACGTTGACCGAGATGGGAAGGTTTTCATGGTGGACGTCGGGGGCAAATTAGACACGCGGCGCACGGCAGTCGCTACGGCAGTTGTTCGCCTGGGGCCAAAGCTCTTCCACATGGTCCAGTCCAACCAGCTCAAGAAGGGTGATGTCCTCACGGTGGCCCACATTGCCGGAATCCAGGGTGCCAAACTGACCAGCCAGCTCATCCCCCTGTGCCACAACATCCCCTTAAGCCAGGTCAAAGTTTCCCTGAAACTGGACGGCGCCCGGTTTGCCGTGGCGATCAGGGCCGAGTGTAGCACCCACGGTAAAACGGGTGTGGAGATGGAAGCGCTGACCGCGGCCAGCGTGGCGGCTTTGACCATCTACGACATGTGCAAAGCCGTCACCCATGACATCATTATCGAAGAAGTGAAACTGGAGAGCAAAACCGGAGGTCAGAGAGGAGACTTCCACCGTGAGCCAAAACCATCAAATTAAAGGGCAAGTCCCTTCAGGAGTGATGTTCAAAATGGACGTCTGTGGGCTACGGCTTCTTGCAGCTCTCAAAGGCTTCACCGCGGAGATCTCTGCACTAGAGTTGACAGCCCCACCCGCCACTACGGCAGCCAAGAAAGGGGTCTCGCTCCTCGTCACGCATTCAATGAAACTGATGCACTGACAAGAGCCACAGCCTTCATTACTGCCGTGGGAAGTAGGCGGAGTTGGGAACTCTGGTGAAGATATTTTGCAGCTGGAGCAGTTTGGGAAGTTGAATCGTTAGATGTTTTCTACAGGGTCCTATCACTATTATGTGTTCCATTAGATTGGTGCCATGTACACACTTAATGCCAACTCGATAACACTTTTATATTTCCTCGGAATGATGTGACTTCTTATTCTTTAATGGGCCCTATCCAGTTATTCTGATATTTCAGGGTTTGGTGGACCTGACAGTTGCTTATACACCATAGGGCCAAAGGTTTGTGGATACCCGAACATCATACATACAGTGTGAGCTTGTGGGACATCCCATTCCCAGACCATAGCCATTTAGGGAGTACTATGGGGTGCATGAATTACTTATCCCCATAGTTAGAGCCGACGTGTGACACTGAAATTGTCACGTCGGCTCTATTGAACGGGAAGTAAGAGAAAATATACCGCCGACCTGCTCACTTCCTGTTCATCTCCCTGCAGAGATCGGTGATTGGAGGAACGTACGGGAGGGGGCGGGCCTAGGTGGCTCTGCCTCTGTCAATCAGCCAGCTGGGTGGAACTCAACAGTATGGTGGGGATCCGTCCCGACTGTGGCACTCACAGCATATAGCGGGCAATGGCATTAGTATATGTCCTCCCATGACCCAAAAGAGAACTATGCGGGGAAAAAAAGTTGTCCTATAGTTCTCCTTTTAATAGCGATTTGGTTCCACTTTGCAGTATAACAGACCCCACACTTCTGGGAAGGCGTCCACAAGATTTTGGAGTGTGTCTGAGGGAATTTGTGCCCATTTGTGAGGTCAGGTACTGATGTTGGATGAGAAGACCTGGCTCATTATCAAAGTTCCAATTCATCCCAAATGTGTTCAGTGAGCTCCCACCATCCCTGAGCTGAGTTCCCGGGTCTGTACACCTGCTGTGCCCATTATGAGGGGCTCCCACCATCCCTGAGCTGAGTTCCCAGATATGTACAGCTGCTGTGCCCATTATGAGGGGCTCCCACCATCCCTGTGCTGAGTCCCTGGGTCTGTACACCTGCTGTGCCCATTATGAGGAGCTCTCACCATCCCTGTGCTGAGCTTCTGGGTCTGTGCACCTGCTGTGCCCATTATGAGGGACCCCCACCCTCCCTGTGCTGAGTTCCCGGGTCTGTACACCTGCTGTGCCCATTATGAGGGACCCCCACCATCCCTGTGCTGAGTTCCCGGGTCTGTACACCTGCTGTGCCCATTATCAGGGGTCCCCACCATCCTGCTGTATTTTAGCTTATACTATGAAGAATAATTGGGAACACCTTTAGATGGACTTAACTGGAACATTTGAGGACGGTTGCAACTGAAGATGAAGTAATATAAGCTACTACAGTCCACCTAATACTGAAATATCACATTTGAGGGAGTTTATCCTTTAAAGGGGTGTCTAGTTTTGAGTGACTTTGTTACTGGTCCATACACGCCTTACCAAGTATGTTCTGTTTACTTTTTAGCCCTCATTTTATAATGTCGTTTATTTTGTTACTGACTGTTCTTCTGTACCCTGTCTGCCAGACACAGTAAAGAGAACCTGTCGTGTCCCCAGATGATACAATGCCTTTTTTCTGACTTATCCACCAGCTAAAGTAACTGCTGCTAGATAAAAGAAATAAAAAGCCTCGCCTGTAAAGGAGGATCAATGCTTCGCTGTCCTGCCGCCTGCACTGCCGATCTTTGCTGTCTTGTAGAGTTATATTGGACTTCTCCATGGTCCCCCTTCTGTACACTGTGGTTCCATCCGCCGGCCCCTGTGTCTTGTAGTGATAGAAGGTCCGGCAGATGGAACCACAAAACCTAGAGGGGGGACCAGGAATCTGACACACAGGAAGTGTCAGATGTTGAAGAGTTATATTGGACTTCTCCATGGTCCCCCTTCTGTACACTGTGGTTCCATCCGCCGACCCCTGTGTCTCTTTAGTGATAGAAGGTCCGGCGGATGGAACCACAAAACCTAGAGGGGGGACCAGGAATCTGACACTACAGGAAGTGTCAGATGTTGAAGGCTCCTCCGGCACTTTAGCTTTGCAACAGAGCTAAGACCGGCGGTGCTGGTCACCTTTTATAGGAAAGGATTTTGTTTCACGCCTTACCAAGAACACGTTCCCATTGGGCATAACCGGCAAAGCACAAAATGATGTAACCCGTTCAAATAAACCAGACCCAGTATAAGACTCTGACTGCTTCCTGTGGATCACTCTTGAAGTTTTGGTTTTTATACTGTATATTATGTACTGTGGTATATTATGACTAGAGATTAGCTTAGGTTCGAACTCAAGGAGTACTGAGGCTGGGTGCTGTGATGTCATCAGAAAGCTATGTACAGCACCCTGCTGGCCCCTCCCACCAGCCATTATCTGCCTGCATTGTATATAGGGAACAGAGACCCAGCTCAGTAAAGGAATGTACCTAGATCTGTAGACTGTCATAAAGGAGCACTCTAGGATGCGTCTCACTAGGACACAGTACTGGAAGCCGTGTTCTGTGGTCATCGGCCATTCACAAATGTTTATAATAGCCAACAAACGCCTTTATTTTAACCAATGGGTGAGCTTGTTAAATGTTTCCAAAAGGAACTTATACAGAGACCTATATAGAGGGGAATTCATCAATACTGGAGCAGACAGAATGTGGAGCAGTTGCCCATGGCAACCAATCAGCATCCACCTTTCATTTTCAAACCTTAACTGAACAAACTGAAGAGAGAAGCTGATTGGTTGCCATAGGCAACTGCTCCAGTTTTGATAAATTCCTCCCACGCAGTATCGTGCCCTTCCAGGGCTTCATTATGATCCTCGGTTTACCCCCTAGTGAGTGGCTGGACCTGGAAAAAGTTTGCATGAGGGGAGTTCAGACTTCACTGGCTACATGCTTGCTTCAGGGCAAAGCCAGTGTCCTCAGACGTTCCTTCAGCTGTCTATGGAACGTCCTGCATTAGACCGAATGACGTCAGTGCGGCTTAGACTGTCGGAGGCCAGGGGAGAAGAGGCTGCAGCGGCCGGGTGTGTGTATTTTCATTATTTGCACCCTGGAACGAGCAGCCCCACTGCGAAGGTTAACTTTGGAAAATCCTGGATTTCCTCTTTAATATATTGTTAGGTGACCCTGCCCCTATGGGGAAGCTTTTAAAGCCCATTCGCTCTTGTGCATTAGGCAACGTGTGCTGAATTACCGCAGGTTCTGACATGCATGCTCATTGTGCAATGTGTTGCAGTGTCATTCATAGTGAAATGGCATCTCAACACAATGTAACATAGGACAACGCACAGCAACACACCACAAAACATACCATGCGTTGTGGTGCGCTGTGTTGCTAAACAAAAGGGTCATGTAGGGTTTTTTTGTGATCCATTGAGGTGCGTTGGCAGCCCATTAATTTCCACTGTACTCAAGGTACGATAAAGTAGCAATGCATCGCTAATGTGCGCATCCAGCCTCAATGAAGCCGTACCTGAACCCTCAACTGTACCTGAATGTTCCCCTGTACCTGACCCCTGACCTGTACCTGAACCCTCAACTGTACCTGAATGTTCCCCTGTACCTGACCCCTGACCTGTACCTGAACCCTCAACTGTACCTGAATGTTCCCCTGTACCTGACCCCTGACCTGTACCCGAACCCTCAACTGTACCTGAATGTTCCCCTGTAACTGACCCCTGACCTGTACCCGAACCCTCAACTGTACCTGAATGTTCCCCTGTAACTGACCCCTGACCTGTACCCGAACCCTCAACTGTACCTGAATGTTCCCCTGTAACTGACCCCTGACCTGTACCTGAACCCTCAACTGTACCTGAATGTTCCCCTGTACCTGACCCCTGACCTGTACCTGAATGTTCCCCTGTACCTGACCCCTGACCTGTACCTGAACCTTCAACTGTACCTGAATGTTCCCCTGTACCTGACCCCTGACCTGTACCTGAACCTTCAACTGTACCTGAATGTTCCCCTGTACCTGACCCCTGACCTGTACCCTCAACTGTACCTGAATGTTCCCCTGCACCTGACCTGTACCTGACCCCTGCCCTTTCCTACAACCCATGAGGTCGGACACCACTCAAATATAATTGCTAAAGTTGGCACTGAAACTGACACTTCCGAAGGGTCGGTCTCCTGGGTCCTTCATTGCCCTCTGACTAGACATGTAAGCTGCGGAAATTTTAGGCTCGGTTCGGATATTTTGTTATTTCAGGATTCGGATCCGTAATTGTTTGGGTTTTGGACAAAATCCGAATTTTGCTCATTTTGGATGAGTTTACGAATACCACAGAAAACCAGATACAGATATTAATACTAAAGCTGAATCTCCCAGGCCTGAATTCGGGATCAGAATTTCCAAATTGCATTCGAGAGCTGCTGAATGCCATTCGGGTCTGGGAGCCTCAGCTTTAGTAATATATGTATATACTGTATAAGGCTCCCATGTTGCCGTAACGAAAATTCAAGTTCAGACCCATTCAGATACATTAAACCGAAACACACATGCGATTGGCCAGAAAAGTCACATGTCTGATTCATGTCAGGAATGTATTCATGAAGACTTTTAAAGCTGCTGCCGGGTTCATTGTAAGAGTAAATGGGAGTCTTAGATTCCCTCACAGACGGCTCACCAGATGTCGTCTAGCATCCCCAGGAGCTCGTCGTCCCTTATTTGTCACCGCTACAACCTCCAGCATTGTCCGACCTTCTGAGTCACGGCGGAAGATTGAAGAGTGCAGCCAGTCATTGCCCGCTGTCAGAGAGTGATAGCGAGCCCAGCCCAAAGGGTGACCCAGTTTCACCTTCTGGTTGAAGAAAGGGAGCAACGTCTGGGAG